TGCGAGGCACGAGCGCCACGAGGACGTGTGCGGCGAGCCGCGCGACCATGAGGATGTCACGCCCGTTCAGGTCTCGGCCCTACCCGCCATGCTGGCGGCCTTTTGACCGCCGGCTCCAAAAACTCCTCTGCTTTGGAGCGGAGGGGCGAATTGGAGACCAGTGGAGGCGACGCGAGATCCTCGGACCCGTCGACGTCTCCACCTGGCGCCAGGGGTGGCGGGTCCACCAGGCCGCGGCGCTCCAGCTGGGTTTCAGCCGTCCGGGGCCCGAGTCCTCGACGTGACGTTCCCGGGGGAGCGGGGAGTCATCTGCACGACCCTCGGGCGCATTATCGAGGAGCGCTGGGCGCAGGTCTGGGCCAGCATCGACAATGCCGTCGGGCGCGACCGCTTCCAGGGCACCTTCGACGCCTCCCGGCCCTGGGGGACCGTGCTGTCGTGCAAGGCGTGCGGCGCAGGCAGGGGCGGGGACTGGTGGAAGAAACGCCTCGAGTTCCCGTGCCTCGCCTCCGCGGGCGGCGAGACTGGGGCAGTTGCTCAGATTGCCTGGCTGGAGGGGGTCATCGTTCACGCAGATGTCTCCACAGGGCAGGCCGAGAGGCGGTCGTGGAGTTCGGGGCCAGGGGCGGCTTCGGATGCTCAGCTGGCGGCCCGCGCCCCCGCGGCGGCACAATCGAAGGCGAAGTGCCGGGGCAGGACGAAACAAATTGTGGAGTCTGGCAGGAGGCCACACGGCCGCCGTCTCGCGGCTTCGAATCAAGAAGGGCTGTCCTAATTACCTGTGGAACCAGGGCGACGAAGAATGCAGCGAGACCTGTCGCCAGGTGCGCCGGCACGTGTGCGAGCGGTGCCTGGGCCCGCGCCGCGCGGTGGGCGATTCGCGCCCAGCGCCGCTGCGGCCGCGGGGGCGGGGGCCAGTCTGGGCTTCGCTCAAGGGCAAGGGCGAGGGGGGGCCGCGGTGAGCCTGGGCGCAGCCGTTGGTGTGGGCCGCACGGCAATGGAGGGGTCGCCGCGTGGCCAGGGTTCGCCCGTCGGGAGCCGGCTCTTGGTGTCCCCAGCAAGCGCGCCGCCGTCCTCGCCGGCGCCCCCCTCGCCCACGGCGCAACCGGCTACGCGGGCATCTGAGGCCCCTCCGCGACCGAGCGGGGGGCGCAGCGAGGCGGTGGAAGACGAGCAGCGCGCTGCAGGCATGCGGAACGCCGCGGCGGCGGTGCAGCAGTGGCCAGCCCTCCGGTCGATCGTGGGGAAGGCGCGGGCCGCCGTCCCCCCGCGCCGGCCAGGGCGCCGCCCTCGGCCGAGGCCTTCATTCAGGCGCGGAGTCGTCAGTGCTCTCCGGCCTCTGTTCCGAGGCAGCGGACCAGTTTCGCCCCTGCTCGCCTGTGCGGTGTCAGCTGGTCGGCGCGGTGATGGATTATTCCCGAGACCCCGACGGGCCACTCGTCGACTGGGCTGCGGGAGGGGGCGCTCATGGGGATAAGGCGTCCAATCCTGCAAGGCGGACATTTCCCGATGGCCGAGGTTCCAGCGTCGTGGTCCTCCTGGACGTGCTCGCGAGCATCTGCAGTGGCAACCGTGGGTCGCCCCCAGCGCTGCAGTTGGTCTGGGAATTCCTCGGCGCGGGGTTTGGCGCGCGCTGCGCTTGCAAAACCTCGGCCGATCAGGTGCGCGGCGCGACGTGCCCCGCCTTTCTGGGGAAGGCGCGGCAGCCGAATATGTCCGGCGCTGGACTCAAGAGCAGAATTTTCTAGGACTTCACGAAGGTGCGGATCAATGCGCTTAGCACCGCCCCAGAGTGTCGTTCTCCCGCGGGGCGTCGACCGCGCCGAGGACCTGGCGTCGTTCCTCGGCGCGCCCCGCGGCGGCGCGAAGGGCGAGCCGTTGGCAGTGCGCATTTTGGATTTCGTGGACACTCTTATGACCGTTCCCTTGTGCGCGGACGGGCAGCCGTTCAGCGCGGCGGAGATTCCGGATCTGGGCAGCCCAGGCAACGTCGCGTACGTGGTACGGAACGTCTTCGGTTTCGGTGGCCGGGCAAATCCCTTGGTCCACAGCCGTTTCGGGAGTTTCGCAGCGCGGTCCGCGCGGGCGATCTGGGCCGCCGTCGGGGTCAATCTTCGCGCGTGCACGGGCGGGCCGTCAGTCGTGGCTCGAGGTTCGACCGCGGAGTGCGCCGTCACGTTAGACGTGATCTTGACATGGTGGCTCGTTCCAGGGATCCCGTTTTCTAGGTCGGAGGGCGAGTGCGCGTGCGCGCCGCTGCCAGCTTCCTCGCGCGAGGTCAGCCTGCGGCATGCCTGGGTCGGCATATCCTGCGCCGTGGGCACGAAGTGCATTATGATGGGTCTGCCCCCGGAGTTCGTCGACGTCTCTGTGGAGATGCTCGGCGGTTTCTGCCGCCGACAGTTCGCGTCTTGGCGGTCGCCGCCGAGGCCCTTTGCGGAATGCGGGCAGGATGGCGCAGGTGGTACCTGCGGCCGCGCTCTTCGTCTCCTCCCTTTCGTCGGCCTACCCGGGGTCGCAGCGGGCCCAGGAGCGCGAGGCCGCCGCGTCGCCGCCGGGCACGGCCCCGGTGCAGCGCTGCTCTTCCGCAGCCGGTTGGCCCCGCGCGCTCCGTCCTGGCGAGGGGCCGCCAGGCGCGGTGGACGCGCTCTTCCCAGTGCAGCGCGTCGTCTACAGCCGGCCAGATCTGGAGCACTTCGGCACCTCCGCCTTCCACGAGGAGCCCGGCGCCTCCCCGTGGGGCGGCGGCGCGTCCTCCGTGAGGGCAGCGACCCCGCGTCTTATTTCTCCACCGCGGGTGGCGACTTGGTCTCGGAGCGCTTCGAGGCAGTGGCTGGCGACTCGTGGTTCCAGTGCCCGTGGGAGTTCGTTGCGCCGCTCCTCGCGCTGAGTACGTGGCGCGAGTGCAGTTGCAAGCAGGTGCTCATTGTGCTGGGTAGGGCCCCATGAACGTCGTCGCCCGCGCGAAGTGGCCGAATCGCGTCGATTGCGCGCATCTTCCCAATGGGCACGACGTCGACGCCGACGCGCTGAGCCGCCTGGCGGCAGTTCCACCGTGTGCGCTGCCCCCGTTCACACCGCGCGCCCCCCGGGCGGGCTTGCCCCCGCGGGGCAGGGCGTGGCGAGCATAGGTGCCTGGGGCGTAAGGATGCGCAGGCGCTCGTGCTAGCATGGGGCGGTGGCTTTTCGTGGGCGCGTGGCGCCCTCGTGGTCGCGATTTGCGCGGCCTTGCCCAGTGCTCGCGCAGCGGGCTAGCTGCGGCGTGCCCGGGCAGGCGCTGACGTCAGCGGCCTAGGCGTGCTCGGGCGATGATATGAGACTCGAGTTGGTCGCGCGTTGCGCTGGGAAGATTTGGTGAGTTTGGTGGGGTGTCGCATCGGTTTCAACCATCCGCCACCCTGTATGCTGTGAGTAGAACCCGTGTAATACCCTCATATATACTCCTTATCCTCACTTCTCCTGCGCCTGGCCGTTTGGGCTCAGGTATTGGGGCAGATCGATCATACCTTTGATCGTGCAGAAGGGAAAGACGTCCATCTATCCCTCCTTCCCTCTACCAGCGGATCAGGGGTTCTGTGCCCTTGTACTTCAACCCCATGCACAGGTTATCAGCCCTTTAAAGCTCACCGTTCATCGAACCCCGCGTCGCGACCTCGCACGCGGCCTCGATGGAACCCAAGCGGCGCATGCGCCGTAAGGGGTCCATCGGGGCCTCGCGTCCGAGCTCTCCGACGGCGCGACGGCTCGGTGATGAGTTGGAGAGCCTTAGTGCGGACTGTGTTGGTGTCCCAGGTACCCCCCCCCAGCTCCGACGGGCCCGAGGCGCGGCTAGCTGCTGAACTTCACCGCAGCGCCGCCCGCGGGGGGACAGGAGAAGGAGTAGGAACAGGAAGGAAGGAGTTTCACACGCCTACCTTCGATCCTCCATCTCCTCCTCAGTTGGGAGCAATCCCAACTGCGTCAGGCGAAAGCCTCACTGGTCCTGATGCTCCAGGGCGCTTTCGCGCTAACCGCCGATGAACCTCAGGTGCTGGTACCCCCAGCCCTGCGACCGTTCCTGTTGCGGAGCACGTAGCCGCCTTCGAGGAACTCAGTAGACCAGTGGCGGCACAGCCGCAGACGCAGTATCCCAAGGTATCATCGGATGAGACACCACACACACATGGTCCGAGTCGCAGCTCGTCCGCGCGCAACCGTCGTGGGGCCCCAGGCCCATACGGCGAGAGTAGGTCGAGCCCGCGTACTGCCTCCCAGAGGCCATGCACTCCCCATGACAGGGGGCACAGGGACGCTGACGCTCCCCACCTCTCCATCTCAGACGACCAGCTGGCGGGAACGTCCGCCGCAGGAGAAATAGCTGAGCTCAGAGACCAGGTTGAAACCTTCGTGTCCAGGCAATACTCTGGACTACTGCAGAGCGTTCAGACGAACGCCGCCGATGCTGCAGCCATGCGCCACGATCTGGACGGCGCCTTAGGGATCATTGATTCCAGGATCGCCGAAGATCGACGCATCATAGGTGAACTGCAGTACCAGGTTGATCGTGAGGTGTCACACTCAGGTGAACGAACGGCGATGGTCGAGAACCTGCGCAACTACCTCGCGCAGATGGAGCAACAGCTTGTGCTCGTACGCGACACAGGCGTTTCAGCAGTCAGGATCTTACATGATGAGATCCACGACCAGCTCCGCAACCGACCAACTCCAGCCGAGGCCACCGACCTTGGCGACGTTCAGTCTCAGATCAATGATCTTCGATCCTACATAGACCACACTACGGCGACGCTTCGCAACGAAGCACACACTAACTCGTCGAACCTGATCGACATGTTGCAGCGTACTGAGAGAGTCATCACTCAAAGGCTTGATGCGACCAACGCTGTCGTGCAGCCACTCGCTAACCGGATCTCTGAAATCGAGCAGCGTTTTCCTGATGTACAGGGCGCCCTGGCAGAGTTGCGTGTCGGACGAGCCCAGACTGGCCAGCTGGATTCTCCTCCTACGGTTTACGATTTCGCCCGCCTCACTGACAGGTTGCAGGAGGTTGAGAAGGCGGCGGGCCACACGCAGTTGGAGCTCTCCCAGGTTATTCGTGAGAGAGATACTGAGAAGGTACGTGTTGAGGGGCGCCTCGCACGTCTGGAAAGCGAGCTGGAGGCACAAGGCGCCCGTCTCCGAGCATACGAGCAACGACTTGAGAGGTACTCACAACGTTCTCGGGATATTGATGAGTACACACGCCAAAAGGTGGCCCAACTACACGAAGACATGACGAGCTGGACGAATCAGCTGATCGACCACACCAACGACACCAGTCTCCACCTTCGACCTGCGGCCGACCTGCACAGGCCGACGGCGGCGTCCGCCGAAGCACCACAAGCTTCTGCAGGACAACAACGACGTACGTCACCAGGAGCAGCCTCCGCGGCAGCTTCTGCACAGACACGTCATGTGTCTCCTGTGCGCACAGAACCGACTACTGACGGTGTACAGATGCCCTCACAACCACTGTCTGCGGTTTCGGTCCATACTACAACTCCTAGCAAGGAGTCAGACACCGTCCGAGTCCCTGTCTTGCCTAAGATCACGCAGCTGCTCGAGTGGCAGCAAAAGGTGCGGAAGAACTTTGGGGCCGCCTCGGGGCGACCATCCAAAGCATACGCTTTCCTATGCGTGGCCGAACAGCCCGAGTGTACATTCGAGGACTTAAAAGACAGTGGAGACTTTGAGAGCATCGATTGCAAACTCGCTACCGCTCTGAGCGACATCTTATCCTCAGACTTGCGCTACCAAATCAGGCTCATCGAAACCAGAGAGCACAAAGCAGGACGCATGCTCAAAGGACGCCAGATCTACTGGCACATCCTACAGTCCTACAAAGTGACAGATGTTGATGACGATCTGCACGACTTTGAGCGCCTTAAAAAACTGAGGATGAGAGATGACGATTTGCAACGTTTTATCACTGACTGGGACGCTTTACTCTTGGAATGCCGAGAAGCACCCGATCCAAAGATCTTGGGATCTCTGTTTCGTACACAGATTCGGAGGCATGCCTGGATGAAACAAGACATGTACGAGTACCAGCGCATGAAGATCAGCGACCCGAATCGTACCTATGATTGGCTTCGACAGCGCGTCCTGGACGTACTGGAGCTCAAACAGTTGGAGAATAATCAGAATAAGTTACGGTACGAACATGAGACACGTTCTCAAGTCAATGTGTGCGCTGCCTGGAAGAAAGGCAATTGTCGCAATGGCGAACGGTGCAAGGCTTTGCATACATATTCCAGGGATTGGAAGAACAACACATCTTCCAGAGCATCGACAGCTGGTGGCAACTCCCGCCGCAGCGTGTCAACTCCTGCGAATCACAAGAAGCCAGCATCGAGACCATTTTGCTTCGAGTTCGCCAAGCGCAACACATGTACCAGAGGCGACACGTGCAACTTTCCACACGTCGCACAGTGTACAGATTTCGCACAGAATAAGTGCCCCAAAGGCGACAAATGCAAATACGCTCATCTTACACCTGGTGCGAAGACTCCCGAGCGAAGCCCGAGTCGACCACGGACCTCCAGTCAGGATAGCCGTGGCCGATCACCATCCCGCGGATCAGGAAGCCAGCGTTCTTCACAACGCGGGGGGTTCCGCTACGCAAGCGACTCGCGCCGTGGACGTGACAACCGGCGCCAATGCGACCGATCTCGTTCAACATCCAGGAGGTCCCTAGACTCTCGCAGTCAATCGAGAAGTCGATGCGACAGATCTTCGAGATCTACCTCCCGAGGACGAGACAACCGTGGCGGCGGACGCGGCAGCCCACGCGGCCGTGATAGATCATATGGTAGTGACAAAGGACGTGGCAGACGTTCCCCGAGCCGTGGTTCGTCCCGTGGTTCTCCCCACGCCAGAGCACGTTCTCCTGCCAACTATCGACGTTCACGCCATTCCGACCGCAGTTACGTCATCCGTGACAAGACCCTCATGGCCAACACTAAGGTCACTACGACATCTACCAAAACACGCCGTCGGATACGCTTCGACACACGTAACGTGGAATACTACTTACATACCGTATCCGGCAGGGCCAGATTGGACAAGTGGAAGGAGATGCCGAACGAGGGTGACATTGTCAATGTACCAGACCCGCTACCACAACGATGGTGGGATCAAAGTGCAGACGCTCTACGAGAATGTCAACAAGAGGCACAGCTGTGGTACAAAGATCTATATGACTACCGACACAACAAGGAGTCGGTGGTCACACCAACGGCGACCCGACGATTCGATGACGCTGTCAAGCAGTCATCAAAGACAGCCCAGACGAAGACGACGACGATGCAAGTCGACCCACCACGCTCGACCGCTGCACTGACACGATCTTGGGTTCTCGACAGTGGTTCTGCGTATCATATTCAGGGTAAACACGAACTCACGCAGACCGAGACGGATCGCATATTTATTCGCGAAGAGCATATTCTGGAAACCGCCAATGGTGATTGTACTGTCAACGAGCACTACGACATACGGCTACCCGAGGTTGGCTTATACAGTTCAGCC